ATCTTGAAAGGCAGCTCCCTTCCCCTGCTTTAACCATCCTGCAAGCAATTTCTCCTTGCCTACTCATCCGCTGCTTCCCACTGCAAGTGAGGCAACAGGAACTTGCCATTGCATGCTCAAAGCAAATCAGCCATAAGTGGGAACCAGCATGGCCCTTGGATCCTCAAATTACAATAAACAGCCTCTTTAACTTCTCTCTCCTCCTGAAATAAGCCTGTGACCAAAAATTGTCTATAATTCACACCAGCTGTCTTGTTCACAAACAATGGTGAATTCATTCTACCTTTTCTTTTCCTGCATTTCCCAACTATCAGATACAAAAGGAAAGATAGAAGAGCAGCTAGGACACCACAAAACATGTTTGTACAAACAAGAATTCATTCATTATCCCTATTTGGGAAACATCTAAGTCTACCAAAACACAGAATGGAAAACTGAACTACTGGTTACTAATATATTTAATATCCCAAATTGTGCTTTGGGTTGCAAAGGAATTATCTTTTCCTTCAGGTAAGAGTCATGTAACATTGTAACCCTTCACCAATTAAGGATCCAAGATATGTAATCCATTTTTTTTTTTCATTTACATATGCTTTTGCTGTTTTTACATATATTACAACTCTTGAGTTTATTACTTCAGTAAGACCAGTTCACTGAGGTGTGCTGAGAATGCCTTAATGCTCTATGAAACACAGAAAATAGAGTTGTACACCTTATTTGGTACAAAAGCAGGACTTAACAAAAAAGAAGGAAGAAGCTGACTTATAACAGCAGACATTTATTAGTCATTAGCTGAAGCTGATAATGATGGGCAGTCAAGTGCAGTGCTTCTCACTTTTCTTTTCAATGACGCTAAACTCCTGCTTGTTGCCAAACAGTTCCTCAAAATGGAGGAAGGTACTTAACTTGCTCCAGATGAGCAACTGGGTGCGTGCCAATTTTTTTTACATGAGCAGTCATAAGCATGTTCCTGCACAGCAGGATGTGATCAAACTATTCAAAGCTGTAAAACCAGGTCTGCTTGCCAGTTTACGTTATAGCTTCAAGAGCAGGGTATTACAGATGATACTTTGCCAACCGTGAAACCTATTGGTTTTCTGTTTGTTTTTGTTAAATAGAAAACACGACATCTTTAATATTTAAAATTCTGTTTAGAACTGACTTGCCAATTAAAAATTATCTACAGAATGAAAGTTAGGATGAAAAGCGTATCACACGCACAACATTCTGAACAATAAGTCATCTCTTGTATTGTTTTTAAAAATCACTTATTTCAAGCTGTACCAACTGAAAGGTCCCCTTTCTTCTCTAAACCATAAGGAAAGTGATTATGACTTATCAAGTCACCGGCTCCAGCTGCAAACTCTGAAATCATATTAACATTCCTGTCCATATGGTATGATGTGGTTAATAGGTGATTGCTTGTCTGAGATATTGCACTGTATTGCCTCCTGCTGGAAACCGCTTTCTTTAAATTATTTTATGAAGATTCCACAATGTGACTGTGGCCATACGTCAGCTTTACTAAATGTCGGTCACTAATTGTATTGATCAAGCAAGAAAGACTCTGGAAGAAAGGCAGAATTATAGGATAACAAAGTGAGATTTTTCCTTGTACTGATTAAGACAAAACTGAACATTTAAAAAGAAACTTATGTTGACAGTCATGAGAAATAGAACATCTTTCTCCATTTTCTTTTCAGAGGATCGGTCATAAAACAGACACAAGCTCCCAGTACAACGCAGTATCTGTTCACTAACAAATATATCTTAGCAAACACAACCAAACAGTTGAGTGTGTTTTTTTAAGGAGGCTAGTACAAGAGAAGATGGATGTCAATGTTTAGCCACGCTTTAGTTGTTTGTTTTTTATTCACTTGAAAATACATACTAAAAGTAGTATCAAATATTTGAGTTTATACCATTTTATTTGTTTTCACACACACAAAAAGTAGTTTGCATATTTGCTCAGCAATCTAGTGAATGATCTAAGATTACATACACATGTGCAGCTCAATACAGTGATAGCAGTGCCTCTATTTGCTTCCTAATGAGAAGTAGCATTCACATTTAAAATCTCAAAAAAGATGCAGAGGTGCTTGGGTGTGAAGATTCAAAGAATTTTTCATGTGCTAAGACTTTGGCAGTTCTTTTTAAGAATAAAAAAATTATTCCAGTGAAATTTCAACAGAAGAATGACAACTAGCTAACCATTACCAAGAATGCATGCAGCCACAGTCCAGCAAAGAGTACCTTCACAGTATAACTACCAGGAAGGCACTGTAAAACTCCTAGTTTTTGCTAAGCTACTGAAAGATGAGTTGAAATCAGACAGCATATATTCAGTCAAAAAAAATGCGTAGGTTACAGATTGCCCATTCTCTAGGAGCTTACTTGAAATCAAAGCAACATTACTGAGAGGGAAAACTTTTGTGTTATTCTCTCTTACTGAGAAAAATCAGAAATCCTACATGTAGAACACCAGATGTTACTTATATTTATGGTGTTTAGTTGTCAGCTGTCACGGTATTGTGAACAAATCCATTACAAAGGATAATAGATCTGGCTTTATTAAACTTCTGTCCCAACATTCTCAGATATAGAGTCTTCTCTTATATAGAACTGGCTATGGTGGTCACTGAAATGACACTGCAGTCTCCAGCACTGCACAAGAGCAAGCAGAAACAGAGCAACACAGCCTTCAAATAAAGTGTCAGGAAGTATTTAGCTTCCTCCTTTGCCAATGGCCTCTGAACTTTAAAAGTGTTTTTTGCAGAAGAGAGGCATAGCATACTAATGGCTTACTCTATTTCTGCTTTGCCTTGGTCTGTTCTCATCAATCCACCCTTATATTTGATGTCACTTTCACTGAAAAGAAAAAGATTTTAACTTGGAGATGTTATGAACACCTGAGGCGACCTCAGATCTAACTTCTAATAATTTGCATTTGTTATGCTAAGCATATACATCCCCTGAATTATTCCTAGTCCCCTTGTGGTCTAATGTAGGAATCCCTCTCCTACTGTTCTTGCTGTTAGCACTGTAATAACTACTGCTATTGCAATGTTAACAAAAGACTACTAATAATTCAAGTACTGTGTGAATTCCCAGGGAATCATCAAGTAAGAAATGCAAGTTGAAACGATAGGATCTATTTTCTAGCTTTGATAGCTACAGTCATAAAAGAATCACAGATATGGAAGCATAATACGTGAGTAATAAAGTTTTATTAATAATAATAACTAATTTAAAAAAAATTGTACTGTAAATTGCAAACACTATCTCAGTATTACACCTTAATACCAAATATTGAAAATTTTTGGAAATGTGTGTTTTGCTTTATTCATTTATTTATTTTTCAGCTGCAGTACCTATGTAACATTACCTATGCTTTCTGCTGTCAGGCCTAAAGACAGCTTTGCTAGCTGTGGCAATTAACCCATTATTATATAAACTAATGATCTTTATTAAGTTCCAATTTGATTACCTGGAAGCAAGATTGTATAAATGTCTGTATATTATTCCTTGAACAGGTAGCTTAAAAATAAAATGTATATTATAACACCCTGCAATGACATTCTTCTATCTTTCATTAAATATTTAAAGTCCAAGTGTGTCTGAAAAGTTTACTTCGCCAAAGAAGCAAAATCTTGCAGAAGAAAAATAAAACTATCTAAAGATCCTTCTCTTGAGCTAAAAGCTTTTTTTCTTATAAGCTGCCACTTTCCAAATGCCCTTTGCAAATAAGAAATCCAATCGTAATTAAAAAATAAACAGCATAAATTTTTTGGCAGAACAGTTGAGTAGCTATGCTGCTTCTCATTAATATAAAAGAAAGCACTGTGAAAAAGTGAACTTCCCACATTAACTTCATCAGCGTCTTTTGTAGTGCACATAGGATACAGACAAAAAATATGTTAGGAACCGAGAAGATGAGTCTATCAAGACTGCAGGAGTACAGAATGCAAAAAAAATGAATACAAACAAACAAAAAAACAAAACATGAGAATTACAGAGTGAGTGGAAGAGTATTCTTTTACAGAAAAACATGTCAATACAAAATAAATTCAATCATCATAATACTAGTCAAGATCACAGATTTGACTTTAATTCTGTTAGAATTAAAGAATTGTTTAGGTATAAGCTCACATTCAGTGGACATTGAAATTTTCAATATTGGAACAAGACATAGATGAAATTTCTTGCCTTGCATGAAAGCATAAGGATGTTCATCCAGTCTAAAATTCTGTGAGATGTAGCCCCCTGCTTAGTATTCTTTCTACAGACTACTCCTATTGAGTTTAATCTAGGTTAAAAAAAAAAACAACAGGAAAGAAAGCTGTGGAAAAAAACCCCAAACATAACAACTCTTCTATGTGATAGGAAAAATAAGGAGATACTCTCCAGAGTAAAGAGAATGAAGATAATATTCTTCTTTGAAGATAGGAAAGCAAAGAGAATGATTGATCTGAGCAGAAGAGAATACAACAGATTGTTTTAAGCTACACAGCAGAAGCGTTAAACATCGAGAGTCAAGGACCACATGCCAATTTTCAGCTTCTGAATGTAAAGCAATAAAGAGTCACATGCAGCAGTCTTACCTTCCTTCAGTGCATGTTTCTGTCACTCTTTACAAATCCTTGAGTCCCAATCACAAACTGTTTTATACAGCTACAGAATACTGGAAAATTAAGATCTTAACACCTTTTTACATTACTCAGTATAATGAATACTATATTTATTTATTTTTAAAGGGTCAGCTAGTGACCAGGTAGAAAGAATACACAATCCCTCCTGTGAAATAGATCGGTGTCATTTCAATAGCCACTACTGCCTTGAAGAAACTGTTGCTTGTTAATGAGCCGTTTACTATAAGGACTGTTATTGAGATTTTCAACAGAAGAAAGTTAACAAAGTAAATTCCCCAAAATTAAAAAAAAATAAAAATAAAAAAATTTTAAAAATTGGTATTGAGTGATTACATACTTTTAGAGACTTACTTGAGACAAAGCAGCATCCCGTTGTTCTATCACTGTGTTCATTTCCTCAGCTATTATTTTCTTTTTACGTTCTTTGGTCCTGTGTATTCGATTCAGAATTATAGCTCCATTCTTGAGTATATCTATCCCTGTGTCTGCATTGTTTATTCTGTTCAGTAATTCCTGTAATGTCTACCAACAGCATTATATGTTAGTCAGACATGAAGTTTTAATATATTTTATTTAATATAGGGTTTTAATTAATAGGCACATGTGAATTGTAAATTGACTGAGTGAAGTTATTGAATTTTCATATTGCAGCAAAGATGTACATTATTAGTGTGTCAATTCTTCTTTTTCCCACATCTTAGTTCTTGAAACCCACTCAATTGAACTTAAGCCTCTAAGATATAAGACTGACATCAAGAAATCTCCTCAGAGAATGGCTTACCATGTCATTTTCTTCAGGGTTAATATTTTCTAGCCTAGAAAAAAGGGACACAGAAAGCCTGATCAGTAGCATTTCCTTAGTGCAGCAAAATGAGTTCGCTTTTTAAATCTTTAGAACCTCAAGTAATTTCATTCTACTAGTCTTTAGAGTCAACCATGACACTGAACATATTAAAGTGCCACCTGCTCGACTCCATCTTTCAATAATGCTCCATATCTTCAGCACTGACTTCAGACTGTTAAGTTATTAATGTTTACTGCTATATATGACTACAAGGATCAATTGTTCATATGTGCTTAGATGAAGAAAGTTCCCCAGTGATAGAAATGACTGATGCTCTTATTTTATTTATTTCTGGACTTACAACTTTTACCCAACACTGTACTTTTGTTGTTTTTAGTACACCATAAATGTAACAGGACAAGGTTTGTAAAGATTGTTTGTTTTGTGGTTTGTTTTTCTTTTTCATTTTTATGCAATTATTTTCCCACCTCTCTTCCAAAAGGAGGAACTGAACTAGTTGAAGTTTCCTTGAAAATGTTTTGCTTTTGTATCTTGCACAAAATAGCAAGTTAGGACAACCCCCTGTAAAGTCCTTATTTAAGCACATAAGCTGCTTTTGCTTTCCCCCATTTCATATCATAGTATGTATTCTAATCTGTCAAATATAGAAATGATATGAGGAATTTAGTTATACGCAGTAGAACATTTTGCAAAAGCACTGAGTGATAGTGCAAAGATCTAACAAATGGGGTCTAACAACCTATATATTTTACTTTACTTAAGCTTAATTATATGGACAACATAGTATTTACAGCATTTATATGTATTTTAAAATGGAAGAGACCTCTATTCTGGAAAAATGAGTATATTACAATTACACCACTTCATTGCTACTTATTTAATGGTCACTTTCACAAAAAAATATTTGTTACTTGTATACTATTTAAAATGATAAATAGTAGCCACTAAACATCTGCTATAAAGCAATGCACACTTTTTCAGTGCTGTGACAGATGCTGCTCTAAGGCCAAGACTTAAGCTAGCAAACATCATAGAGTACTTGATAGAACATTAGCATCTTTTACTTTAAAGAATTAGTTTTACTTATAATGCATGATAAATCAACCATACGAAACTTAACTGCTTAAATAAAAAAGAAACAGCTCAGAATGTACTATTACGTACAGTAGCTAGTATGTTTATATGGAGTTTATTTATATGGAGTTTAAAAGCAGTAATTATTCCAACACCTACAGTCAGCATCAGAACGAAACAATGAAAAAAAAAAAGTAAATGCTAATCTTTGGTGGGTTATAGATATATTCATAAAGTAACATAAATCATAAAATCAGAACTGGCTCCTTGAGTTGGCTTCTCATAGAGTTCCTACTTTTGGGTTCATAATTAATGCTGCAAGTTTCACTTCATGAGAGACTTAAAAATGGATCTTAAGCTAGTTTGTATTCAACATGATAGGAACAGTATTTGCCAAAGTAAATTGGCAGGACTGTTCTGCTTCTCTAGAGGACTTCTATCCTGCTAAAAGTATGGGTTAACAAATCACCCAGCCAACCATAAGGCCGGGTAAGCAGGACACCTTAGACTGGAAAGGGGGTGGGAAAATGAACATCAGTTCCCACATAAGGGTAGCTTTTCAGCAAACTGCTGTCACAGAGGATGCATTCTTCCAAGATGACAGTATTTTTTAAAAATACTGAGCATCTAGAGCTGAGTATTTGCCTTGATGTCTCTCTTGATTTTAAACATCAATAATCAATGATTCCCTCTTCCCCCATCTCTGCACACATTACACTACTACGTACCCTAGGGCTAACAGAACAGAAAGAATTTCTGTTACTACAGTTAAATAATGACAATAGAATTGCTATAGCACATAATTTAAAGCAAGCATTAAAGCATTTGATAAGGGTTGGCAGCCTGTTCAGTATTGCCCTCTTGTAGAAATCTCTCATTGGAAGAAGTCCAAAGCAGATGGAGGGAATGACTTGTGCTCTAAAATTTGATGCTTGTGGCACAAGTAGCCTAAAAACATTACAAAAAATACTCGGTAGGCTTCACCTCTCAGACAGATAGCTTGGGTATTTTAAACAACTGCATGAAGAACATATGAAGGATGGTAGTTGGGAAAAATACAACATTTTTGGAAATAAGCCACCCAAATTAAACAAAATAAACTAAGTTTCTTGTGGCTCATCTTATCATCACTGCTTCTACTGAAGGACTAGTGGCAAGATGAACGCTCCCCAAAAATTTCCATTCAGCCACAGTATTAAATTATTTAGAACGAATAAGCTGAGCAAAGTAATTTCCTTGTGTGGTTAACTACAAAGCTTGTAAGAATAAGACTTATTGAAGCTATATAGTGAGGTAATATTTACTGGTAAATTAGGGGCAAAGTCTAAATCACTCCACTTTTGTGAATACTGCAGAGATCGTCTGAGCCTTAACCACTTCAATTCAACTCTTTGCAGCACCACCCTGGCTTTCTCCTCTCATTGCAACATGTTGTAAGTCCAAGAAGTAAAGCATATTTTGTCACCTCAAGTAAGCATTACACAGTTAGTAAAGATGCTTAATGTAATGAAAAGCTGCCGTGCTTGAGCCAGGCTGGTTGTCCAGCAAGAATCTTGGCTCCGCTTAACTGCTTCCTGCTTCCAAGGTGTACAGCTGCATGAATAAGCATCCTGTAAGCTTAGTGCATGTGGACTTCTGGAGTTTGTAATCCCCAAAGGCTTCACCGAAAAAGAATGCAACCTCTTCCCCCAAAATCCAAATCAGCAACCACAACAAGCAATGTTTCTCTTTATTAAATTATTACTCTTGTAGGAAGAAACATCATATTATTGAGAAGGTGCTGTTTCAGAGTTGACTGACAAGGGTCAAGGATGGGGTGTTGTCAGCTTGTCAACAGGTTGTGGGAATGGTTGTGGTCAGAATGGACTGAGGTAGTACTATATGTAAATTGGTGGAATAGGGCAAGGAACCTTTATGTATATTGTCTGATATAGTTAAAGTTTACAACATTCCTATCAAAACTGCAGTTTGACTTAATAGGTAAAAAAGATCAGGAAAGAGGCAAATATTAAGAAAGCTGATGCAGAGAACATGATTACTACTGGATGTTACTCAGTATACTAATTTTTCTCCCTCAGTCCTCCTATCTTGCTTGCCCTTCCTCTCTTGCATATCTTTGCCTTTCACATTTTCCTCTAGCTACTACTATTTTAATTTTGCTGTGCAGTCTTCTTTGACTTATGGAAGAAGTGATACAGAAGTGGAATTAAAAGACAGACAAGGAAAGTGGGAAGAAAAAGTAGATAAGCAATAGAAGTGTAATTACAGAGTTGCAATGCAAAGAAGGAGAATGAAAATTTGAAATTAAAAACAAGTAAAACAGATTCCACAGGGAATTATGAGATTGAAGGTCATTTTAGCCTAGACTGAACATAAAGCAAGTACTGTGTTGGAATGATCTCAGGGAACAGACAAATATTCACGAGGATACATGTAGATAATAAGTTCATGTACATGAAGTTCCACAAACATTTACGCATATTTTCCATGAGAGGTACTAACTTTCTCTCAGTTACTCATTTTCTTATTTATGTTTTTCCATTTCTCTTGGCAAGGAAATTTCTCAACTAGTAGAGGGTTACCACTGAATGGTAACCAAGCTGATTGGAGGAGGGTTACATGAAGAAGCAAGCTGTAGATTCAAGGCTACCTATATCCCAAAGTCAGAAAAGAAGCTATTTATGATCTTCCTCTCCTGACTTAATAGTTTTATTATCAATGGATTGACTATTTCTGTTAGGTTAGCAAGGCATACACAAATTTCTAGAAAGTATTAAGTATACCCTTCATGTGTTAAAACTGCTTCTACAATGAAGATATGGAAGAAAACATATTTTTACCAAATCATCCACATAATTAGTAAAAGTTTTGCTGTAGGAAATATCTCCTGGGCTTAAAGGTTTGATTGATTTTCTATACATTGCAACTTCTAACTGACATTCTTGTATTTCATGTCAAAAGATTTTCGTAAAATGTCACATTACTCTTATTTATCTCTGAATAAATCAATACCAAAGCTCTTGATTATATTTTTGTATATTATAATTTTTGTAATCAAATTGTTCAACTTGCAGTTAGTATCTAGAGAAAAATATGGTCTCATAAGATGGCTAAAAAATTAAGGTAAGATTTTCTGCATAACTACTGTCAAACAATTTATGACCTTTACATATCCACACAACAGCCTGTCTGCACAGGACAGGAAGTAAAGACTTACTCTTTGAGTGACTCTTCTAAACGCCGGACTCGTAGAAATGCTTCATCTCTCTCTTCGTTGGCTAACCTAAGCCTTGCCATGACAGCCTTGTCACGTTCCCGTTGAGCAGAATAAACTTCTTCAACCAGAGCTGCAAAAGTAACCAGTATGTTTGGCACACAGTAACAGCTGGTAACAGTTTGGCAGGGAAATACACCATTATGTATACTTACATGGACCATTGTCAGCATCTCCATAAATCAACATTTTTCCACCAACCTCAGATTGCTCTGCTCTCTATTACTCTCCAGACAGAACAATAAATAGCTATTGACTGGTGAAATGAAATCTTTCAAGAATTAAATTAAGCCATGAGTTTTCAAATTCACCCTTGAAACAAGGCAAGGAATTGATTTGCTTTGCATTCTCAACACTTGCTTCATGGAAAAGTAATTTTTACATCTCCAGATCACATGAGATACAGTAGGTTTCTTCTACAGTACATAGAGTTAAGAGCAATGACCCACTGAAAGTACATCTGTCATCACAATGCTTCATATCACAATGACACACTGACATAAATACTAAAAATGTTAATATTTTCACAGCATGTCTATCTCTAGTATCACAGAAGTGGCACAGCTGGCACGCCTCCTACTCTGCCAAGCCTTTGCTTTATTGTGTAATATACTGTTATATTATCTGTTACTGCATACATGGACCTTGGAGCATTAGGTACCAATAAACTAAGATTTACTGTCTATCCCTGGGAGCAAACTAACACCTTCTAGTCATTCCTCATCCTGAGCTTATGCTTTCTTCCTGCCTCTCCCCTGTCAGTATGTCTAACATCATCCCTGGCACACTGCCAAAATCCTTACCCCACCCTGCCTTCACTAAAATCTTTATTCATACTTTCATCATTTCCCTCTGCAATACTGCAAATCTCCTCACAGCCATCATAAAACCCCGCAGCCTGAATATCTAGGGACTTCTGGGATGCCAAAGAAAAAAGGCTGCTGTGGGTCCCAGAAAGAGGACTACATCCTCCCTAATTGTCACAGACACCTCCAGCAAAAACTATAAGTGAGGTCTGCAGGTCCCAGAATTCTCAATGCTCCTCTTCTAGTGTGTTGAGCTTCTGTTTAGCTACAGGCTCCTGATACCTCGCTTTAGAATTTTGGCAATGTTTACTACTCTTCTCAAAACTCTTCTGTATTAAGCCACTGCTGATGGACCTCCTTACTCCTGTCAGAACTCTCAACTCCACTATGAGCCACTGCTGAAATCAATATGTGAAGACTGCAGAGGAAGCCTTCCTCTTTATTTGGAGCTTTTATGCCTCCACTCTTACCTCAATCAAGATTAACTTCACTGCCTTTATAATTACTTTTCTGTACTCCTACTTTGCCTTTGTACATTATTGCACAAGACCTTCACAGTGGAAAATAAAACACTTTGTTGCTCTTTACTAAAAAGAAGTGTAAGAAAACAGGAGTTTTTGGTAGCAGCTGTATCAGTGGCACAAAATACTTACATGTTATCAGTACTGAGGAAAAAGAATAAAACAAATAATATAAGAAGCTCAAATAACGAGTGAAATAAAATGGGTGAGAAAAGGAACTGAAAAAGAATGCTGGGAGACAAATTAGGAAGATGATCAAGGCAACAGAGAAGTGTGTTAACAGAGAAGTAAAGAAGTGTTTTTGCATCTTAAGCAAAAAGGGAAAAGGTTGTGTAGTAACAGCAGACTGGACAAAAGAGGATAAAGAAAGGCTAAATGCTACTTCTGGGGGTGCAGTCCTATCTAATAATCTCTCACAAAAATCCATTTAATAAAATGCATCTTCACCCCTCCAGCCCTGTACACCCCAAAAGAAATCAGCATCAGCACCCTGAATTTGGTATGTACGCAAAATTTATGAAACACTGATCTAATTCTCTCCCATTTGAGTATTTTCTTCTTCCACATGAGCAGCATTATTTTTTAGAAGATTTATTTGCCATTCACAACAAGACTGTCCTTGATACGGAATGACAAAACTTAGACATGAATAAAGCAGCTGTAAAACTGCATGTACACAGTTTGGTAGTCAGGAACAAATCTGTAGCACTTGCAGGAGTCCAATGCCTGCAAAGGTAGGTGGTTCAGCAAGAAGAACAAACTGTATGGAGCAGACTATACATTTCAGATCGTCAGACTTCCATTTAGCTTGCTGAGATCAGTGCTAATAGGGAAACTAGTGATTCATCTCTGAGGCACATCACAGTGCAACCTCTGTGTCCTGGCTGGATCTGGAATATACAATTAGTTTTATTATCTATGATAATTATTACCTATCTGTACCTTAAAGTACAGATACATTTACTATAGTTTTTCCGTTAAATTATGTCATTTTATCTTCTATTATGCCAGTGATACTGCACAGAGAATCCTTTCCACAAAGCTGCAAAACTGAAAATATTATGCAATTTTCAGCATGAAAATAATTGCTGGAATGAGTACAAAGCTGTCTAAAATAACTGCAGATTTGGCACTTATTCTGGCATTAATTATCTTTCTCTTGTTGTTCTTTCTTTTGGGAGGGTGGGGGGGAGAAGGGAGGGAGGTTATTTATTTATTTATTGAGTGTACTCCTTCTATCATACCTTATTTATCTCTTATGTCAGCATGGAAAACTCTCATTTGCTGAATGCTAAAATGAATCTTGAGCACGAGTACACTTAGCAGGACTATGTTTTGGCATATGTAATTCCCTCTCTGAGGAATAATAACTAGTGTTAATAAATGACTACACAGGCTTTTAAAATCTGTATTATTGCTTATTCATCTTGAAATCAAAGACATTATATATAGCAGTATGAAGCAGCAGTATTTTATATATAGCAGTATTTTATGTATGGTGGTATGAAAACATTCAGAGATTTTTCAAGTGACGTAAGCATCCTGCTTATCTCAAATCTCACCATCCCTGATAACAACCAAGAGGCAGGTTGCCTTGAACAATGAACTCTTCTCCCACTCAAAGGTTCATCATTACAAAATACTGTCTTTAAGCTGTTGGCTACGAAATAGCGACTTAATTTGCACAAGTTGTGTTGCTGTTTTTTTAAAAGATACTTAGCATAGTCATTTTAATACCATGTAATTTTACTGACATTGACCAAAGGAAATAACAAACACTAACCCTAAGTTAAAAAATTATAAGGATTAATTGGAAAATTGGGCAAAGAGCATGGGATAAAAAACATTTCTGAACATTTTCAAACAAGGATTCAGCATCACATTAGTCTTCATGACTTTGAGGAAACTGACAGCAGAATACGGCACTTTCCTCATGGACACAACTCATCCAAATCATGAGCTTCACGACATTCTTCAAATAAGCCACTGAAACGCATACATCTCATCTCTGAGTTTCAGTGTGGCAATAAAATAAAACATTTGATGAAATATTTCAGAAGCGTGTGACATGTAAAGTCACATAATTTAATGTGTATGAAAAGGACAAAAATCCCCCATAATAAAAACAGCCAAAAATATCTAGTTTACTAACCAAAATTTTCTTTCAAATGCCAGGCAAAAAGTAATTGAAAGTAAGAAGGCAGGTTCCAAAATCTCATTCAAGATATGGTATATCCAAGTAAACCACTAGCCCCATACTGGCATAGTGGCTTGATGCCTGATCCAGCTACTTAGTCACCCACTGCTCTGGTTGGAACCATAACGTTTTTCTTGGATAGCATCCAATGGCACACCAACCAACCCTATCCTGTTTATCTTGAGGGCTGACCAACAAGAAACGCAAATTCCTATAGTACTTATGTTTCGAGCACAAAAATGACATACAAAATGAAGTATGAATGGAGCAAATATTAAGCTAAAATGAATTGTGTCATTTTCAAATTCATATACATATGATAATCAAGAGTTAAAATGTTCAATTTCTATAGTGATAAATTAAGAAAAAAGATTATTTTCCAATGCTTGTAAAATATGCAAGTATGACTACTATTTAGTTGAATAAACTTTATTTGCTTTGGAATAATTTAATAACATCTTTCTCCTTGTAACTAAAATCCATGCATACTCTAAAAGAGCTCTTTATTTTAAAAGAATCATTATGCTAAACTCATCAATTCTAAAACATTTTTAGTTTTTGGTAAAGAAAACAATTGTAAACAGAGAGCTTTTGTAAGGTAGATAGCTATTACAAAGTTCACTTAGAAAATCAATATAGCATTTTAGCTGGAATTTGCTCATTAAACACCCACAGCTCTAATGCAAATTATGATGGAATGAATAAAGCAAATACATATGCTTCTTTCTTTTTATTAAATGTAAAATCTACTGTTAATTGCATCTGGTATGTCATATAAACTTTTCTCCTTAACTATTAAATGGAAGCTTTTACAAAAGTCATTAGAGATTCTCTTTCTTTGACTTGTATAAATTTCAATATTTGTTCAGTAAAGGTTCACAGCAGTTAAATTACATTAACAAATATTATTAGCTACTATGTAAGCCAACTAAGTAAAATACTTATATTGCAGGTAAAACAAATCAATGGGTGTTTACAATAATATTTGGATATGTCCATTTTTAAACAAGCTTATCAAATATCATGTAATTCTTAGTCAAATGAGAGAGACTCAAAGTAGATATTTTCTTCCCAAATACTCAAATTTGTTTAGTAAGCTAATTGTTTTCTAATATGGGCAAAAGTAAATATGAAGAAGATGAACCATACAGAGTATGAGTTTATTGAGTCAAAGAAGTGTACATATTTTCTTAGTTGAACCTGATTCTTTGGCAAACCTGTCTTCTACACTTTTTAAGCTACCTTTAAAACACAGCAGGAGTGAGAAGGCATGTTGGAAATCATTCCAGTTTAAACAGTGGTTCACATTTTCCAAACAATAAATCTCTGGGAGAAGAGAGGTAAGCTCAGTTCCCAGGAAAAAACTGTTTGCTGATTTCCTAGAGGTCATCGATATAAATAGTAAAATTAAAACAAAATAAGAAAGAATAGGAGAAGCAAGAAACAAGAACTTATTAGGATTTAAAATATCTACAGTAGAAATTACTTGAGTACTCATATTTATATTTAAAAGCAAGAATACAGGCATGACATTACAAGAAAAAGATCA